CGTAGACAAAATTGTGTCCACAGACAGACGGACAACCTGACACCAGTTTACCACCCCACCTCCAACTCCGTTGCGAGGGGTATACTTACTCTTTCTGGCAATTGTTAGACCCTGCCAGATATTGCTTACCACGATGCTGTACTTATAGTCTAGCTCGCGTCCAATTTGTCCGAGGAGCCCGCCCTCATAATATTCCAGCACGGTAAGACAGACAAGAACATCAACGTGGACCTGTTGATAAAAGTGGAAGTCAACATCTCAGTAAGCAACACATGGACGCTATGTGAAGTGAGGTCTGAGTCTTTATGAACACCATGTTGTCTGGCATTGTCTGCTACATCCAGGCATTCTACATGAAACAGGAAATTGTTTATAAATGTAATGTCAGAAGACCGAACTTGCCTAGAAAATGCATACTGGCAATACATGGAAAACGTGATTGCGATGGGGTGACCAAGGAAACGGAAAAGGTTTTGGTGAAATCAAAAGGACACTATCCTAAACAGCTTATATGAGTCCGTCTTTACCATCGAGGACACCACTTCCAACATTTAAATCTGTGAGAATCTTCCACCATCCATAGAGGAGGTTGATATGACTAGTCAAAGGCTCCTGGTTCAGATACGATACCTGCTCGCCACCTGAAGGATTGCACAGATTTTACATCAAGTGTATGTATGATAGAGGAACAGGCTACAGATGGAAGGAAACAAATCGACATCTGCAATGTCATAGAAAGGGAAGAGGAACAAGGCAACTGCCGAACTGCTTTTGGAATCAAAGGGTTTTGCTCTCAATGTACAGATCCTCTCCACATAATGATGCAAAAGGCCCTGTATATGCGGTACCTAGAGGACGTCTGATGGAAAATCTTGCCACGTTTCTCAACAAAGATATTGTCAACGAGGAACTCGATTTGATATCAAAACGGTATAACTGACAGGATTTGATGTGAGAGTAACTCGGTTAGTTTTCTATGTCTGGAACCAAACAATGGCTATCTGAGACCTTTTTCTGTCGTCCTTATTCCATGTGTGCAGAAAAGAGGAGAGCGGAACCCGTTGGATTTCGATGACGCTGTAAGATATATATACTAGAGCACGTCACAACCATCAATATGACTGAAGTACCTAAACAGTTTCCAAGTCCTGACTCAAACACGGTTTTAGAGCACAGAGGAATTTAGACCCCGTCACCCACTCAAGTGTTCGAACAGACGGCGCAGGATAAGAGTAGACGCATGACTCGGTCACGCAGATTTCGGCAAGGTTGTTTTTGCCTCGCCCCTATTGATGCACACCGAACGATATGAGGTCGGACTCACCAGGTTGTCCAGTCATTCTTGGAGCGACTGCTCAGGCAATATGTAGTCGAGGTATTCCCAAAGAACTGTTAGGATGCCAATGCCCTTACTATGTGAGGATTTTTCTCCATAGTGTGATGGTTCTAGAGAGAAGACGGAAGAAGAACCTGTGTGATCTAGCAGAAATCTGCCGGTGGTGTTTTTGGAAGGTCCTGTTGTGGCTCTTGAGCCTTCTGGACATTTCTCGGTTTCTGACCTACCTTTATGGACACGAGAAAAATTGCATGCATTATAAGACTTCTTTCCTTCATCCGAAATTTCTACATTTGTGTTAAAAATGGCTTGATTTTCACTTTTCCCATTTCGTTGTATTCTACCATATATTCTATCATGATAAAGCAACGTCAACGGACGTTATACAAGATACATGATACAAGAAACTTTATTTAACGTCGCATACAAGTAAACAAGGAACATTAGCTCTTGAAAGCTATTATTGCGACAAACATATGTAAAAATAACAATCACATATTGTATGACATGTAAAGGGAGATAATCACATATATATAAAAAAAAAAAAAAAAAAAAAAAAAAAAAAAAAAANAAAAAGAAAGTATACATATCCCAGGTTTCTAAGTGATTGGGAGTCCCCTACCTACAAAGGCCCCCGGAATGTATATATAACAAGAGGCCCAGAGGGCCTGAATCGCTCACCTGGCAAAATATTCTCCAAATGAGATCCAAGGGAATATGCCAATTCTTGTAGTATGTCTGAATTAGATTTTTCAGGACCAGCATGTCCTTGGCCCCTGCTATTTATCTGCCATATCAATCTCCCTGATTCAGTGTCCACAAGTGCGTGTATTTGCAGACGACTGCCTCCTTTACCGGAAGATAAAATCCCTCGGGGACACCACTAAATTACAAGAAGATCTTGTTAAATTGGAAGAATTGGCTGAAGCATGGGGATGTCATTCAATGCTAAGAAGTGTACCGTTCTGCGTAGAGACAGCAAAAAAAAAATCAGTTCTACAAACTAAGTGAAACCATCCCACAACAGACGTCCGAAAATCCTTATCTTGGCATCACCATATCTGATAATCTGACATGGAACTCCAACATCAACAAAACCGTCAAGAAAGCGAACTGCTCGCTCGGTTTTATTATTAGAAACATCGAACGTTGCCTAGCCGAATGTCGCAGAACAGCCTACCTCTGGCTTGTTATGTCCATTTTTGAGTACGGGTCAGCCGCCTGGGACCCCTATGCACAACAGGACATAAACACACTCGAGCAAGTGCAAAGGAGGTCAGCAAGGTTTATCTCTGGAGACATCCGTTCACGAGAGGAAGGATGTGTGACCAAAATGTTAAGAGACGCGGGCCTGTCCCCACTTACAGAACGACGTCGAATGCTTTGCCTGGTAATGTTTTATACAGTGGTCGAGGGTGTGGTGCCAGCCTTACCTTCGCATGAGTTCCTGACACCAATTGCCGGAAACAAACGTAAAATTCGTCCGCGGGATTTTAGTGACAATCGTACGATAACACTGTTGAAAATTACTCCTACAATAACTCCACGTGTTTCAAAGGCCATAATTGTAAAACAGAACAATTTAAAACTTTTTCTTCTATAAGACCACTATTGACTGGAACCATCTGACCGATTTGCGGCTGCTTTCTCCACGCATAGTACCACGAACTACTAGGATTACCTAGCACTCGTCCCCCGACGCGATACATGTCCTGATGGACCCTGCGCCGTACCTCCACAGATATTTAGAGCACGTTAGTCATTGAATTATTCATTATTTGGACCTTTAGCACCACTGATGTGTCTTAAACTATCATGGTTCAGTACTTTGTTTGGACCTTTGGCACCACTGATGTGTCCTAAACTGTCATGGTTCACTACTTGTTTGGACCTTTAGCACCACTGATGTGTCTTAAACTGTCATGGTTCAGTACTTTGTTTGGACCTTTAGCACCACTGATGTGTCCTAAACTGTCATGGTTCAATACTTTGTGTGGACCTTTAGCGCCACTGATGTGTCTTAAACTGTCATGGTTCAGTACTTTGTTTGGACCTTTGGCACCACTGATGTGTCCTAAACTGTCATGGTTCAGTACTTTGTTTGGACCTTTAGCACCACTGATGTGTCTTAAACTGTCATGGTTCAGTACTTTGTTTGTACCTTAAGCACCACTGATGTGTCTTAAACTGTCATGGTTCAGTACTTTGTTTGGACCTTTAGCACCACTGATGTGTCCTAAACTGTCATGGTTCAGTACTTTGTTTGGACCTTTAGCACCACTGATGGGTCTTAAACCATCATGGTTCAGTACTTTGTTTGGACTTTTAGCACCACTGATGTGTCTTAAACTGTCATGGTTCGGTACTTTGTTTGGACCTTTAGCACCACTGATGTGTCCTAAAATGTCATGGTTCAGTACTTTGTTTGGACGTTTAGCACCACTGATGTGTCCTAGAATGTCATGGTTCAGTACTTTGTTTGGACCTTTAGCACCACTGATGCGTCTTAAACTGTCATGGTTCAGTACTTTGTTTGGACGTTTAGCACCACTGATGTGTCCTAAACTGTCATGGTTCACTACTTTGTTTGGACCTTTAGCACCACCGATGTGTCCTAAACTGTCATGGTTTAGTACTTTGTTAGGACCTTTAGCACCACTGATGTGTCCTAAACTGTCATGGTTCAGTACTTTGTTTGGCTTTCTGAATCTACAAGTAAAATGTTCAAATATGTGATTCGATACTAAGTTTATCGAGTGATGATTTCCCAAACAAGGGGTTGAGGTGCCCTCAAACAGTGTTGTAACCAAACGTTGTATAATTTATTTCAACAAATTTCAATCTACTCTAGATACCTTGTGGAACTAAGAGATTGTCATGTCGAAAACATCGCATCTGCAACCAATCGAAGTCACTGAGGAATGAGCGCTAAATCCATCGCCGAACCAGAGTGTACGTCACGCAGCTGACAAGAGTTATGTCCAAAACCTTGCCTTCTCAGAGCAAAACAGGGAAGGGAAAGAGGCTGTGAGACTCCCCTGGGATACCTCCACTGAGAAAATGTGGCCTCATAATGAGCACACCCAGAGTCAAGGATGAGATCCTCAACTTCCCGTTTTTCTTTGCATATATATACCACGAAGGTATATATTTTAGGTTGTGGTTAGGTGCAATACTCTTGCATTTGCCTTTCGCCATAGTTTGTATTCCCGATTGGCCAAGAGCATTTTCTTAGGGTACTCTGGGGTTTTCCTCAACAAGAAACTCCTTGTGCGCTTCCATCTGGGCCAAGGGCAAAGATTATTGTACGGAGGTTAACAAATTAACAAACAAAAAACGAGAACAGGGGGCATGTTCGTTTATGCGGAACAACCGGTTTGACCGTTTATAAATGTAACAATTTCGGGTATAAATCCTGGCGGACCTGCAGGTGTTAAGGCTCGCCTGAAAGCAGATCTTATTAGATAAACGAACAACTGTGGTCCGACCGGTTTGGCCGTTTAAACGAAAACTGCCTATTAAGTTATTCACCTGGTTACTGCACTTTTCCACCACTTAAACATAATATCTAATTTATTCGTTTNCGAGGTAATATAAATCGAAGTCATTAGTATCACTTTGCCTTGGAACTCTTCTAAGCAAAATATCACGAATGTTCACTTCCGCTTTCTAGCGGCAACCCGAACTCGACCGGTACCATGTGATTGTAATATTTAAGGACAAATCAAGGTCCAACGATGAATAATTTCACGATAATGAAATGTTTTAACGTTTCTAAAAACGCCTGTCTCAAGAACAGTCGAATCTCATCCATTTTAAGACCGCTGGCATTTAGATACCATTGTCGGCTGCAAGTTCAATGTTTACATTTCTCGGGATGTCAAACTCAAAGTCATATGCGTGGAGTTTGTCAACGTAATCAAATTGTGCGATTTTGTAGTTCACAACAGGATAAAAAACTATCCGCCAAACGACAGCATCTCATGTATTTTATTTATTTGTCATTTGCCATGGGAGGATGCCTTGTCGTTGCTATAGTCCTGAACCAGTTGGATGAAACCAAACAGCGATTTAAAGGCATCGAGCGAGTGAAGGACGAACTACAGACGGGTCGGCCACAGATGATTAGATACAAAGATACTATGCTGCCGATATTTGTAGAGAGAATTCTCGGTGACATAGAGGATTTTGAAACTGATGAAAATGACATATGGGTCGTTTCATTTCCACGATCAGGTATTAAAATAAACGACCACGTACAAATCTAATGAGTCTAATGCCAAAAAGACAAAGGGGGATCTAGAAAACTTAAAGTAGGTTGTATTTGCTGTACACAACTAAACAGGACTAAAACCGTTCGCCCTATGTAATTTTAGGGCGAAAACAACGTACGCCCTTATTTCTGCATTTACATAACAACAGCATATGTTATGAGGTATTTCAGTTTCAATGCCTTATTTTGGGCTCAAGCTTTTGTGATTGAGTAAACAAGGGAATTTGGAGTGTTTTGTCATGCTACATATATACAATACTTATTATAATGCCTGTTATTACACTATTAGTTTATAAATCTGAATAACATGTAGAAACAATAATGTCATTATAGCATTATTCACAGTAAAAGACTTTATGATAAATTATCAAAAATCATTTTCAGGTACAACGTTAACACAGGAATTGGTGGACTTGGTACAATCTGAGGGTGACTTTGTACGAGTCGTGACAATGACATTGGAGGAACGCTTCCCTTATTTTGAATATATGTATCCCGGCATCAAAAGTATCAAAAAGATGGATTCACCACGTCTCATCAAGTCACACCTCCCCTTTAGCCTGCTGCCCAAGAGTGTGAGGGAGGGCAAGGCAAAGGTACTGCCATAAATCATGGCCTCTATCCACAGTAAAGGCAATGCTACTTCAGTAGGGAAACGTTTCATAGGTTTTAGCATGTTGTCAGATTCCTTTCTCACATTCTGTAAATGTTTTGAGCATAGAAATGTACTACAGCTTGTTATAGCTAATGCTATTAATGGGAATGCTAAGTTTCTATCACATGTCAAGGTGAAAATTTGTACAGGTCAGTAAAATTATTAGTCAAGGTGATTGTATGGCCATGATCAGATAGCACAGCAGGTCAAGGTCACTGTCAGAGATCTGTAAAGATACTTTGTATTAAGTTTAGGACACGTTAGGGCAAGGCTGACTATTACAGCTAATCAGGGTCATTTTTATTGCAAGACAAACTATTACAATCAATATGGGCAAGGATTAGGTACATCTAGTATAGGGCACAATAAGGACAAAGGTCATTGTGGTAAATGTTTGTCTCTCTCAGTCACTGTTATGTATTGTCTCGTTACAGGTAATCTATGTTGCCAGAAATCCAAAAGACACCTGCGTGTCCTACTTTCACTTTGTACAGCTGCTCAAACCTACATTTAGGTTTAACGGTAACTTCAATGATTTCTTCAGCCGATTCATCAACAACAAAGGTAAGTGACACATTATTTATGGGATCCACTTGTTGATCATCCATTTGTCACGTAACATTGATCATCCATTTGTCACAAACATTGATCATCCATTTGTCACGTAACATTGATCATCCATTTGTCACGTAACATTAATCAACCATTTGTCACGTAACATTGATCATCCGTTTGTCACGTAACATTGATCATCCATTTGTCACGTAACATTGATCATCCATTTATCAGGTAATATTGATCATTCGTTTGTCACGTAATATTGATCATCCGTTTATCACGTAACATTGATCATCCGTTTGTCACGTAACATTGATCAACGTTTGTCACGTAACATTGATCATCCGTTTGTCACGTAACATTGATCATCCATTTATCACGTAACATTGATCATCCATTTGTCACGTAACATTGATCATCCATTTGTCACGTAACATTGATCATCCATTTATCACGTAACATTGATCATCCATTTGTCACGTAACATTGATCATCCATTTGTCACGTAACATTGATCATCCATTTGTCACGTAACATTGATCATCCATTTGTCACGTAACATTGATCATCCATTTGTCACGTAACATTGATCATCCATTTGTCACGTAACATTGATCATCCATTTGTCACGTAACATTGATCATCCATTTGTCACGTAACATTGATCATCCATTTGTCACGTAACATTGATCATCCATTTGTCACGTAACATTGATCATCCATTTGTCACGTAACATTGATCATCCATTTGTCACGTAACATTGATCATCCATTTGTCACGTAACATTGATCATCCATTTGTCACATAACATTGATCATCCATTTGTCACGTAACATTGATCATCCATTTGTCACGTAACATTGATCATCCGTTTATCACGTAACATTGAACATCCATTTGTCAAGTAACATTGATCATTCGTTTGTCACGTAACATTGATCATCCGTTTGTCACATAACATTGATCATCCATTTGTCACGTAACATTGATCATCCATTTGTCACATAACATTGATCATCCGTTTATCACGTAACATTGAACATCCATTTGTCAAGTAACATTGATCATCCGTTTATCACGTAACATTGAACATCCATTTATCATGTAACATTGATCATTCGTTTGTCACGTAATATTGATCATCCGTTTGTCACATAACATTGATCATCCGTTTATCACGTAACATTGATCATCCATTTGTCACGTAACATTCATCATCCGTTTGTCTTGTAACATTGATCATCCATTTGTCACGTAACATTGATCATCCATTTATCAGGTAATATTGATCATTCGTTTGTCACGTAATATTGATCATCCGTTTATCACGTAACATTGATCATCCGTTTGTCACGTAACATTGATCAACGTTTGTCACGTAACATTGATCATCCGTTTGTCACGTAACATTGATCATACATTTATCACGTAACATTGATCATCCATTTGTCACAAACATTGATCATCCGTTTGTCACGTAACATTGATCATCCATTTGTCACGTAACATTGATCATCCGTTTGTCACGTAACATTGATCAACGTTTGTCACGTAACATTGATCATCCGTTTGTCACGTAACATTGATCAACGTTTGTCACGTAACATTGATCATCCGTTTGTCACAAACATTGATCATCCATTTGTCACAAACATTGATTATCCGTTTGTCACGTAACATTGATCATCCATTTGTCACGTAACATTGATCATCCGTTTGTCACGTAACATTGATCATCCATTTATCACGTAACATTGATCATCTATTTGTCATGTAATATTGATCATCCATTTGTCACGTAACGTAATATTGATCATCCGTTTGTCACGTAACATTGATCATCCATTTGTCACATAACATTGATCATCCATTTGTCAAAAACATTGATCATCCATTTGTCACGTAACATTGATCCTCCGTTTGTCACATAACATTGATCATCCGTTTGTCACGTAACATTGATCATACATTTATCACGTAACATTGATCATCCATTTGTCACAAACGTTGATCATCCATTTGTCACGTAACATTGATCATCCATTTTTCACGTAACATTGATCATCCATTTGTCACAAACATTGATCATCCATTTGTCACGTAACATTGATCTTCCGTTTGTCACATAACATTGATCATCCGTTTGTCACGTAACATTGATCATCCATTTGTCACAAATATTGATTATCCGTTTGTCACGTAACATTGATCATCCATTTGTCACGTAACATTGATCATCCATTTGTCACGTAACAACACATGTCAGATTTGTATAACATCATAGATATGCCTGAAGTTTAAAATTTGGATGACAGAAACGAATGTCAATATATGACTGTTGTTAAATCATTTACAAGTTTGATCTGATAACCATATAAATGACCACCTCTTACAGTTCCCTACAGTCCGTGGTGGCGTCATGTGAAGGAATTCTGGGACATCAGAGATTCACCGAACATTCTTTTTCTTAAATACGAGGACATTGTGGAGGTAGGTACCATTTACATAGTCTTAAAATTTAGGATTTACAAATCACAGGCAATAGTCTATGACATTTTGATTTCTTCAAAACCTACTGAAATTTTGGTAGACCACACCTTAACAAAGAAAACTTCACTTATATTTAGTGTTCAAAAACAAGTAATTAGGATTCAAATATGTGTAATAATTAAGGAAGACAAGTGATTTCAAAGGTGATTTTATGTCTCCCTTCTGTATTCATCATTGAAATTTACATCATAGGAAATAACTACATAGACAACTACAATGTTTCCCGTGGTGATTGTCTCTCTGTCTACTGTTACGTACGAGCACTAATACAGTAGCTCCATGTCCTTTTAATTAAATCTGTATCATACCAAAATTTATCACCATACAGTTATCATGTACTTCAATGTTGATTTACTTAACAATGAAATCTTAACAAATGAAGGAATTTCTCGACTGTAACTGATTTGTGTAAAAACTTTCCAAACATTATGTACAAAAAAGTTGCACCTCAGCATAAATATTGTGAAGCAAACCAGGTATTGTGGTGATTGTAAATATAAGTAAGTACTTGATGTGTGTGTTATAAGGAAGTATTTGATGTGTGTGTTATAAGGAAGTATTTGATGTGGTGTTATATTAATTATAAGTATTTGATATGTGTGTTATGAGTAAGTACTTGATGTGTGTGTTATAAGGAAGTATTAGATGTGTGTGTTATAAGGAAGTATTTGATGTGTGTGTTATAAGTAAGTATTTGATGTGTGTGTTATAAGGAAGTATTTGATGTGGTGTTATATTAATTATAAGTATTCGATATGTGTGTTATGAGTAAGTATTTGATGCATGTGTTCTGTTTTCATGTCAGGACTTGGCAGGCACTGTGTTAACTATCGCGGAATTCCTTGGCAAGGATATACACCCAATGGAGGTGAAAACGATCGCTGAACACTGCAGTTTTGACAGGATGAAATATAACAAAAATCTCAACTACTCCTGGTGGAAGGAGACTGGAATCGCTGACAAAGAAGGCCAGGATTTCATACGTAAAGGTATTACCATAGTAACACGGATACCTAATGGGGATAACGTGTATTACAACAGCATCAGGCTATTTCTATACACATGTTTAAGAATTTAAATGTGTTTTGTCATAGTAACAGTCCTATGATTCTCAACAGGACTGTTTCAGTGTTTGCTGATGAAGGACTGTATCAGAGTTTTGTGTTAATAAGTGAAGCAAAAAATATGGATCCTTTTTCCATGAAAAAAAATTGCACTGCAAAATTTTAGAAGAGTGCTTTGAATTTGAACTTTTTCCTGAAAAGCCAGTTCTATAAACCATGTGTCTGCAAGTCTGTTCAGAATTATATTATGTACTAACGTCATCAGCTCAGTGGGATAATAGTTTTGTAAATTCAGTCAGAAGCTAAGTAGGTGGTTGGGTGTTGCAGTGGATAGCACAGTTGTCTTTCACCAAGATGATTCCCCGATTGGATATAAAAAGGTATGGGGGTCACCTACCAGACCACAAAGGTTTTCTCCTGGTAATCCAGTTTCCTCCCACAGTAAGACCCCTGTGCACTACCATCCAACAATAGTGGTTAATATAATTTGATGAAACTGGTTTTGCAATTGTTGTAAAATAAATAAGGTCAATTTTTAGCTCACCTGCACGAAGATAAAATAAGATAAGCTTTATTTGGTCAATTTAAATATTGCTAAGTAGGGGTATATGGCTTTGTGAAGTGAAGGTCATTAGCTAAGTAGGGGTATATGGCTTTGTGAACTGAAGGTCATTAGCTAAGTAGGGGTATATGGCTTTGTGAAGTGAAGGTCATTAGCGAAGTGCCCTTCTAAGTTAACACTTCGGCCTTCCTAGCAGGCGGCCGGGGTTTGAACCCCGAAGTCGCCGTACACATGGAATATTAGAGAAAGTATTTTTCTCCTGCTCCCACAACTCCAACAACCCAGGTGGAGTATTAAATGGTCTGGGGTGGGTGTTGCAGTATCTGTGCTGTAGCATTCAAGTGAGGTGGCACTATAAATGATACCGTTGAAAGCACAATCCCACTACAAACAGAACACAATACATCTCCAGCACACACACAGGCATACACACATAGGGAGATATTAGCCAGGTGGCATAGGACTAGTAGTTAGCGCCTGATAAGGCAGCTCCTGCGAATTCCTCAATATTGTATTGATTAATATATATATGCTAATTGCATTGACTGTATAAAATTGTATATCTTTGTACTGTAAAGCGCTTTAGAGTGGCTTATGTTAGCTAGATAGGGCGCTATATCAAATGTTATATATTTATTTATTTAAGTAGGGGTATATGGCTTTGTGAACTAAAGGTCATTAGCTAGTAGGGTATATGGCTTTGCGAACTGAAGGTCTTTAGCTAAGTAGGGTATATGGCTTTGTGAACTGAAGGTCATTAGCTAAGTAGAGGTATATGGCTTTGTGAACTAAAGGTCATTAGATAAGTAGGGGTATATGGCTTTGTGAAATAAAGGTCATTAGTTAAGTAGGGGTATATGGCTTTGTGAACTGAAGGTAATTAGCTTGTAGTTAGCTAGATAGGGCGCTATATCAAATGTTATATATTTATTTATTTAAGTAGGGGTATATGGCTTTGTGAACTAAAGGTCATTAGCTAAGTAGGGGTATATGGCTTTGTGAACTTGAGGTCATTAGCTAAGTAGGGGTATATGGCTTTGTGAACTGAAGGTCATTAGCTAGTAGGGTATATGGCTTTGTGAACTGAAGGTCATTAGCTAAGTAGAGGTATATGGCTTTGTGAACTAAAGGTCATTAGCTAGTAGGGTATATGGCTTTGCGAACTGAAGGTCTTTAGCTAAGTAGGGTATATGGCTTTGTGAACTGAAGGTCATTAGCTAAGTAGGGGTATATGGCTTTGTGAACTAAAGGTCATTAGCTAAGTAGGGGTATATGGCTTTGTGAACTGAAGGTCATTAGCTAAGTAGGGGTATATGGCTTTGTGAACTGAAGGTCATTAGCTAGTAGGGTATATGGCTTTGCGAACTGAAGGTCATTAGCTAAGTAGGGTATATGGCTTTGTGAACTAAAGGTCATTAGCTAAGTAGGGGTGTATGGCTTTGTGAACTGAAGGTCATTAGCTAAGTAGGGGTATATGACTTTGTGAACTGAAGGTAATTAGCTTGTAGGGTATATGACTTTGCGAACTGAAGGTCATTAGCTAAGTAGGGGTATATGACTTTGTGAACTGAAAGTCATTAGCTAAGTAGGGGTATATGGCTTTGTGAACTAAAGGTCATTAGCTAAGTAGGGGTATATGGCTTTGTGAACTGAAGGTCATTAGCTAAGTAGGGGTATATGGCTTTGTGAACTGAAGGTCATTAGCTAGTAGGGTATATGGCTTTGCGAACTGAAGGTCATTAGCTAAGTAGGGTATATGGCTTTGTGAACTAAAGGTCATTAGCTAAGTAGGGGTGTATGGCTTTGTGAACTGAAGGTCATTAGCTAAGTAGGGGTATATGACTTTGTGAACTGAAGGTAATTAGCTTGTAGGGTATATGACTTTGCGAACTGAAGGTCACTAGCTAAATAGGGGTATATGACTTTGTGAACTGAAAGTCATTAGCTAAGTAGGGGTATATGGCTTTGTGAACTAAAGGTCATTAGCTAAGTAGGGGTATATGGCTTTGTGAACTGAAAGTCATTAGCGAAGTAGGGGTATATGACTTTGTAAACTGAAAGTCATTAGCTAAGTAGGGGTATATGGCTTTGCGAACTAAAGGTCATTAGCTAAGTAGGGGTATATGGCTTTGTGAACTGAAAGTCATTAGCTAAGTAGGGGTATATGACTTTGTGAACTGAAGGTCATTAGCAAAGTAGGGGTATATGGCTTTGTGAACTGAAGGTCATTAGCTAAGTAGGGGTATATGGCTTTGTGAACTGAAGGTCACTATGTAATGGAGATATAGCTCTCTTTGGGAAATCAATATTTCAGAGATTTCAAGTATATTAGATTTACTCTGTAAGATTATTTCCATATACAATTGTATCTTCCATTTCTTTTCATAAGATTTTAAAATGAAAACAAGGACATTTTGTATTATAAAAAACTGTTTCTTTCTGTTTAAGGTAAAGTTGGTGATTGGCGTAAGATGTTTGATGTAAATCAGAATCTACAGATTGAAACAATGAAGTACCTCAAACTGAACGAGTGTGGACTGAGATTTGATGAGGGAATTGAGGAGAAACTGACAGCAGCTGACACAGCAGACAAAATATCTTAGTAGACCTTGTCACATTGAATGTCACATATCTTTAAACAATATATGTGTCGCATAGAATCTTAGATATCTATATTGAACATCTGTGTCACATGGAATCTTGGATATCTATAAACCACATCTGTGTCACATAGAGGATTGGATATCTTTTAAACAGCATGTGCGTCACATACCAACGATGATGCCTCTGTTTCCTACAGAAGAATAGCCTTGATTGTTGAATACAAGCTGACTGTAACAGGAGCAATATTTACTGGCGTGATTACAGGTCATCTGTAGGATGACAGGATATCTACCTCGTGTCTGGTTGATGAAACTTTCAGTTTCACTGCTGTGACAACTAACGGAGTATCTTA